CTAGAAATACGGAAGAGTAGGTAAAATATAAATTACGTCTAATTAAATCATCTATTAAATCACGATGACAAAATTACTAAATTATATGCCAATTCAAAATTATGTTAATGCCCAAACTTAATTAACTGATTGAATTGTCTGATTACTTCGGAAACGAGTCGCTTTTATATATTTTAGTTGTCCCTCTAGAATATTCTACATAAAACAGGAACGCTTAAGTAAATTCTAGATTTCTATATTTTTAGTTTAATTTACTAATATTAAAATGACAAAATTAAAATATTTTTAGTGTTACATATAAAAGTATACATAATACAACAATACCATAACAGTGGGTACAAATACCTAGAGAAAAAAAACCTAGTTGCATAATGTGCAACTGCAAAAAGACGTAGCGAGTATTGAGTAAAAACCTTTTGATGAATACGACGAAAGAGGAGGGGTGCTGTGCAAAATTAGGATCTGATAGAGCAAAGTTTGGTGGGTGTAAGGGAATACAAATAATTGTTCATTGTCGCAAGCGTTTTCGACCACTTCTTTATACATTTTCAAGGGAGGGGGGGGTTGTTTTAGGAGTTGATAATTTCTCTTCGTGTTTATGGAAAAGGCACCGGGAAGCGACATTACGGCGGTAGGAAAGTGACTGAAACAGAGAAGCCAGGTCAAGGCCAAAAATATTGCTGATTCTTCTTTGGATTTTATCAAGAATCTCTAAATATATAGCAGGAGAACTTGACCATAAGTGTTAGTAGTATTCAAAGCATGGACGAATGGTAGACTTATAGATATGTAAGATAGATTCTGAAGAGAAAAATCTTCTCGCACGACACAGTGAACCAACTTTCTTAGTAGCAGACTAGCGATGGATTCATTATAGTCTTTCCATTTCACGTCAGCTGAGAATGTTAGCCCAAGAAGGTTACTCTCCTGGAGGTTAGCATCAGCCATGCTGATGGGAAGCAAAAAGGGGGTTCTCAGATTATTAACAGAGAGAGAAGTTTTGTTTTGGAGGCGTTAAAAGTAACATGCCAGTTGACAATAGCCTGTAGGTCATTTTTGAGATGAGCCGCAAATTTGACCTTATCGAACCTTGTAAGATTATTATCGAGACCGGAGAAAAGAATTGTGTCATCAACATAGATACCAAATTTCTTACAACATTTCACCTTTCTAGGTAGATCTTCTATGATCACAATGTCGGATAATTTATAATAAAAGTGATAAAAACAAAAGTACAAGCAAACAGAATAGAATTATCTAGAGTATATGCCCAGACACACCTAAAAAATTAAATTTATATATCTAAAATTTCAGAGTTCCAGTATCTTCTTCCTATTGGTGTATAATTACGGCTGGCCTTTGCGTTTTAATTTCTCACCCTTCCTTTCCTACACAATTATAGTTCCATTAACAAAAAAAAAAAAAAAAGAATTACTTTAGTGATTAGTCTGACAAAGTACTTCAAGAAAGGTTGAAACGCGTTACACAGAATTTTTCCACTTATATATATATATATATATATATATATATATATATATATATATATATATATATATATATATGAGGAAAATGTATGACAAAGTGGAAAAACTTTTCGTGTAACGCGTTTCCTCATTTACGACTGCATCGGATTAAATCTTTTATGTTGGTGGAATTATACATGCGCACAAATGAGGGATATATTTTATTAATTATTATCTCGCTCATTTGAGTGAGATTCTTTTTTCTTTTTCTTTCCATCACTTTTGTTATTAGATATCCCGCACTGTGATAATAAAAGATCTGCCAGGAATGGTGAAATGTTGTAAGAGCCAGGATGCAAATTTACTGTCGATGACCTTGCAATCAACGCACTCGCGAAACGCGTGGCACAAAAACTTTTTTCACTTTGTCATGCATTTCTTCCCAATGTTGTTATTGATATATAACAATTTATATATCGTTATCTCATAATATTCAGTGTGTTTCAAAAATACTTTTACAAACTTTAGGGTCGGTTCCTCACACCAAAACAAGGATAAAAGCCTATATAAATATATGTCCGCAAATTCTTTATTTTGATTTATTACGTTTAAAGAAAGTTTACGGTAAATTACGCTGTGTTACCATGAAGATTAGGTTACATTTGTAATTCGTATATATTTGTGGCTACTCTATCTTCAACGTTTAACGTGTGTAGTAGCAAGTTAACTGAGAAACGTTCCGTTTATCAAAGACAGGATATTTATATCGTGAGCAGGCAGATATAAATTTTACATATGGCTGCGCGAATGGTAATTGACGCGAGGCTGCACGGTTGTATCAGACTGCGTTTCCAGACCAAAGTCATCCAACCTTTGCTGCTGTTTATCGTCGCGTTGCTGAAACGGGATCAATGACAACAAAAGACTATGGATCTAGGAAGATCAAGGTCCGCTCGTGCGCCTGATCACGAAGAACACAATGGAACGTACTTCAAGAGCAGCTCCTGTATCCGTATCATTTGCACGGTCTTTCACCTTATGATCACTCACCACGGGAGAATTTTTGTCGACTGCTTATTGCACAAGCAGTCGATCCGTTATTTGTCTCTCCAGTCTTGTTTACTGATCAGGCAACATTTGGAAGAGATGAAATAACAAATTATAGAAAGGTTTTATTTTCCAAACACGGTCAGACCATTTTCGTCGTGTTCATAATTGATATTATTGAGTATTGGCTTTTTCCTTTTTATTAATAACTAGCAGTAGAGCCCGGCGTTGCCCGGGGATGTAACAGTAAGAGATAGATCAAGTATTGACCATCATAAAGACTGAAAAATAAAATTGACAAAGATTATTGTTTAAGGTTGACGGACACGCATGTCTTAATTAGTTTTTTTTACGAATTGGTCAAACCCAAACTCAAACAAAAACATTGTTTTTAATCGTTATGAGTCTATCGATTGAATAGAATTTTATTATAAACAATTGTCTTGTAAATGGAATTTTTAAAGCATTCTGAATGTAAAAATAAAGAAAAAAGTGTGCAAAAGTGTGCAAGACAATAAGAAACACTACCTGCCAAAAAAAAGTGAAGTTTTGTTGAAATCGGTTGAAAAATGTAGGAAATCTGATCCCATATATAAATGAACACACAAACAACCAACCTGGGTTTTATAATAAGTATAACTCGATAACTCGATATTAATAAGTATAGCTCGATATGAGTTGTCCCCCTTTCATTAATGCCTCTTAATCGTGTTTTCAAATTGATTTCGTGCAAAAACAATTGTTTTTCCAATTTTTGGCGCTGTCAGAACCACTGCAAGGTAATTTTATGTAGCCCTGTGAAGTTTTATTGAAATCGGTTGAAAAATGTAGGAAATCCGATCCAATATATAAACAAACAGACACACACACACACACACACACACACACAATCTGCATTTTATAATAAGTAAGATACTTCCATTATTTTTAGCCATTTTTACATGTCGATGAGGCTATTAGATTTGTATTATCAACGAATGTGTGGTAAATGTTCCCATAACTCTAGATACATACATAAAACAATCCATACGTTTAATTAAAACTAAAAAGAAAATTCATCCTTGATCATGGCTAAAAGTATAGCCGAAAGCGTTCGGACATACAAAACAGTTGAACAATTTTTTTTTTTTTTTAATCCCGACATCATTTCTTATTACTATGAACTTCGTACCCACTAAATGTACAGTTGTATTAATAAGGAATGATGTCATATTGTTGGTTGATTTTGTTTAGTTGCATATCAATCTCTATGGGTTATTTAATGCCGAAATTTAAATATTTTGAACACAATTTTTATTGCTTCAACTAAATATATTTTGCCTTCAACTACAGATAAAATATATTGTTCGTAATTTTACTATAAATATGTATTGTTGGTAATATTTTATATACAAATATATTGCCAGTAAGTTTACTATTAAAATGTATTTTCATACTTTCATAGTCCTTTGCTCATGTTTGGAGGTTCACTCTTTGCTCATTACTGAGGCCTTAACATGTGCTACCACCCCGGATCAGAGTGGTCATTGGAACAACAGCAATTAAGAGGACGTCCCACGCTCCAGAAAACCACCAATCTCCCAATTGGAGGCCTTGCTTCCGGATGGAGTTTATCGTCATACTCAGGACTGGATGTCAGATTTAAAAAATATATTAATTACAAATTTATTTTTTAAAAAAACCATTATCCTCAACGGTTGTACCGAGCACTGTTTTTTTTTTTTTTTCAAAATAAACGCTAAGAACTCTGAACTATAAATCTCATTGTTCTTTCCGATTATTTGAATATAATATATATATATATATATATATATATATATATATATATATATATATATATATATATATATATATATATGTATGTATATATATATAACGCACTTTAAAGGATTGAATGTGTACATGCCTGCAGTAGCAAAAAATTCATTTCAAAGGAAATAAAAACAGATTTTATATTTTGACTGATTTTTTAGATTGCCACAGTAAATGCATAATGAATATAAAGAGTATGTTTTGATATAAAATCTTTTCATTCTTTGTAGACCTTTCTTAAATATATATATATATATATATATATATATATATATATATATATATATATATATATATATATATATATATATTCCTTTTGTATCGATTTTTTCTCTTTATGCAATATCTTCGGTCAGTAACCTCTGTTCAGGAAATTCTATGCATATTTGACGTTTATACGACAAAAGGCAGTTGTCCTTTTAGAATATCGACAATACAATGGTTAGGCTCATAGACGGACCTGTTGCCAGTTACAGGTCAACCATTCAAACATTATAAGCCAAGCATAAAATACATTAACGCAACAGCTCCTTCGATAGATACCGGGGGAGGGCGTTCCCGTATTTACAAATGACACTTCTTGTTCTTAAATTATTTTCTTCGCCAGTTCGTTAAAAAATACCATTTGAGGAAATTTTTCACAGATTTCATTATTCAGAAAACACGCACTCTTTCTCTATGCTCCCCTCTTTGCCAGTCTGCCTCTTTCTTTTCCCTCTCTTTTCCCTTTCTTTTCCCATGTATGTCTGCCCCACGCGCGTGTGCGTACGGTGTAGTTTCAATTTTCAGAATGTCGCAAAAGGCATTACATATTTTTGTATTTGGCCTGCAGATTACATCACAGAGCACTGGAACACATTAATTCAATTTATAAGGTTCCAAATTTCAAAGGTCATGAGGGAAAAACAATTACATTAAATTTCTCTTGAATTACAAAACGTTCACATATAAATCCATGTTCATCAAAATGACCAATGATGCTTGAAATTATGCATAGTACATTTTACGCACTCATTGTAGCCGAACAATTGTTATCCTGTTGGAAAAGAAGAAAACAATTACTAAGAAAAGTAATTACTAGTAAAAAAAGAAAGAATAGTAATATATGTAATCCGGTGTTTTTTGATATTTTTATTTTTACAAAACAGTGCTCAATGTAAATTTACAGAGTATAAATATTATAAATTAACTGAGTTAAAAATATGGTTCCATCGCTACACAAGAATTACCATGTTTCAAAAACAGAAACTAACAACTTCAAATTCAATTATATAATTTAATTAAAAGCATAAGTTCTATTTCATTTTCAAGCGAATTTTGGAATCCAAATTTGGTTTCCAAAATTCGCTTGAAAATGAAACGGAACTAGAGATTTTAATTTAACTATATAATTGAATTTGAAGTTGTTAGTTTCTGTTTTTGAAACATGGTAATTCCTGTGTACTGATAGAACCATATTTTTAAATCAGTTTATATATATATATATATATATATATAGGGTGCGATACGCAAATTGTCGCCATTTTATATTTTTAATTTCGCTCATTTTGTCGGCTACACAATATAGTAAGGTCAGTTGGGCACCATCTGCGAGAAAAAGAGCCCCATGACGCAATTCGCTCCGCCAGAAATTTGGAAACAGCATGCTGTACTGCTTGGCATTCGCACCGGAAGCTGCAATACGAACATTTCAGAGTAGTTGGGTGTCAATCTGGGAAGAGTGCAAAGGATTCGGAAAGAGTTGGATGAGTCTAATGGCGATTACCAAAGTACGGCATTTCGGAAAACTCACTCGTTTTGATAAGAAAAGAATTCCCGAATTTGTTGGTGAGGACCACAGAATCAGCACGGAAGCCTACGTCAAGTGCCTTGAGGAGGTAGTCCTGGCCTGGGTCAATAGGGTGTCTGCTGGAAGACCCTAGGTCTGGCAACAGGATTTTGCACCATGCCATATAAGCAGGAGAACCCAGAGGATTTCAAAATAACTTACCCACCAAAAAACTTCCGCTGTATAGATGACACTTCGCTAATATATCCTCACGATACGAAATTACTCGATCTCATAAATAAATAAATTGAACATACAATTGAATTCACTTATGATAAATAGACGAATAACACTTATATATATATATATATATATATATATATATATATATATATATATATATATATATATATATATATATATACACAGTGCTGCTGTTAATAAAACATTGTTCGATGTAATAAAACAGAGCTATTTAGTATATATTAATAAATATTATATTTTCCCTCACCGTAGCACGACACGGAGTTTCATGCACAACGCAATGTTCAGATGCTGAGTATAGACTGGCTGTTAACAACTTCGAGCACCAAAAACTAACATCTTATCTGAAAATTTGAAAATACAATAAATAATTTAACAGACACCGTTGGTTCTTTTTTAATCGAACTTATTAGGATATATTTATATATATATATATATATATATATATACATACATATATACACACATATATATATATATATATATATATATATATATATATATATATATATATATATATATATATATATATATATATATAATGAATTCATCTCGTGGAACTGAAGGACCAGATTATCCCGCGCATATGAGTTTGTAATAATGCCGTAGGGTTACGCAGAATCGTCCACTTTTCAGAAGAACTGAATACAGAAAACTGGTACACCTAGGAGGCTACGAGGTCCCCAAATAGCCCTCCTCGGATTTTGAAATCAGAATTATCCTTCTAGACTGCTTATATAATAAGAATATTTGTTATAAGAATACATATAAGAGTAAATATATATAAGAAATATATATATATATGAGAAATTTTCGCGAATTTTGACGTCATTCTGGTGGGGGGGGGGTCCAAATCCGTGAGTTTGTTTTGCTCATGCTAAGTCTCGAAAAAAAAAACTCTTTATAAAATTCAATTTCAATTTTTTATCCATAATGTTGAATGTGTTAAAGTTATTCGACTTTTTAACAATAAAAATCTCAAGTTGATGTTAAAAATTGCCGCAAAACATTGTTTATTTATTTAAAATGGAATTTTCTATTATAGTATGTCTCTAATTTGTATTTAGATATATTGTATTTATTTTCAGTTTTTCTCGTTGAATTGTTCACCTATATTGCATATGACCCATTATTGTAAATAATTAAGTTACAATAAAATTTGTATTTTATATAAATACTACCTTATAAAAATTAAAATGCAGCAGAGTTGGTGGGGCGCATTATTCGGGAGGATCATAAATGGCGATGGCATGTGACCTTTTCATCGGCCCTGTATACAAACATTAAAAATTGATTCGGATTTAAATTCTTTTCCATGTGTTTTATTTAATAGAATAATGGAAATACTTTAGCTCAAAACACTAATCATCTCATATCGTTTTTTATATCTCTGATAGGACAGAGGGTATCATTTCTTTAGGTGTTCTATTGAGTTCTTGTAAAATTCCAATTAACCACGTTGTATGACTCTACAAACAATCTTTCACCGAGCATACACAAAACGAAGAATTCATTTGGAGGGTTCTACTTGCTGGCCTCATTTTCCACGAATCTTCGTTTCTAATGAACTATTTTGTGTTATAATTTACCTTTTATTTTCTTTCATTCATTGATTTATTTATTTTGCCATCCATTTCTCCTGCCTAAAACGCCCGGTTCTTTTCCTTCCTTTCGTCCTTCTGGCCATCGGCAATGCCATTTAGTCTTCTGACATTCAAATGTATTCTCCCTCGCCCTCCTTGTTTCCACATCCTCTTCCTTTACTCTTCCCTCCTTCTTCTTCCTCTTTAGTACAATCCTATTTCAGCAAACTTCCTCTTTCTGGCGAGAAACTGAAAACCTTTCGTCGACCAAAGTCGGTCCGACATATTTCGCTTGATCTCCTCCTTCGACCCACCCTCTGAACTGCCCGTAGGCCAAGCAGAGATCAAACGCAAAAATCGTTAAATGTTCAACGTACCGAGGAGCAAGACTCAAGTCTGGTTCAGTCGCCCAGACAACAAAGGCGCTAGCTGTCACGCCATCGGCCTATTCGTCAACTGGAACGCATTACAATTTTTTTTTCAAGTCTTACAAGCAATGACCGTGCCCCGTCTATCGAATCGCTTCGAACAAGGCAAACGAAAAACCTATTTCGCTTTCGCCAATTCAGTGCTGATGCTGCTTTTTCAAGGAGTCCGACCGACTTTATTTTTTTCTTTTTAGCGGGTTCTCTAGATAATTTCTCCTCGAGTAATTTCTCTTTCTTTCACAGGGAAAGTGTATTATTGCTTTTTCCTTTTCATCCAATAAACGACATTTTAATTGGCGTTTGCAAATAACGCACGCACACATTCACATACGCACACACACACACATACAAAAGAAAAGACTAACATTGTATGGATGTGATCATAGTAGCCGTGACAATAATTGCTTCTTATCCAAGTTTTACAAAACAAGATATTTGTAGGCCGTAAATGTAAACGCTGAAGCAAATTGCGAAGAGTTTCAATTATAAATGATTACGTCATCTTGAAATAAATAGATATTATTGAGAATCGAACACACTGCTATTGCTCAAAAGTAGGCGCACAAGTAATACACTAGTAATATTTTAAATTTAAGTTTACCTTAGTCCACGTCCTATGGGAAGGATAGAAAGATTGTGTTGCGCCAATCTTCTGAATGGAGTAGGTTTTCTATAGAGCAACAGAAATTATATACAGGCACTTTTCTCTGAGTGTAGAATTCCAATCTAAAATCTCTCTTTTCTATATATATAGATATGTATGTGTGTGTGTGTCTGTGTGTGTGTGTGTGTATGTGTGTGTGTGTGTGTATAAAATTTCAGATGGAGTATATCTATAAAAGGACAATAGGAATGAAGACAAAGAGAAAACTTATCTTGGCGACGCGTTTCGTCCTCTGATGGACATTATCAAGGCAAATGCAAGGATTTTATTTCGTAACAAGTATTTATATACAAGTGCAAAATGTTATTATTTTTTTTTTTAATTTTTAAATTTAAGAACGCTCATAAATATTCATCAGGTTAGCCGAAAAGTCTAGGCAAGATATGGAGGACACCAAGTGATACAATTCAATGTCTAATAAATGAAAGTGAGTAAATCATGTTATTGAATTTTTTTTATTCAAATTAGTAAATGATTGTTTTAGTTTGAGATTAGTTTATGTGTTATATATTTTAAATAACGAATTTATGAGTTTAATCGTTTTCTTTTAATTTTTTAACATTTTTTATAGTCATGTATGTTGACTTGGTAAAGTATAATTCTTTCACGAATGGAGATATTTGAAAAGAAAAAAAATCCGGGGCGCACATTTATATTTTGATAAGATTTGATAGCAGCACTCTTGAGAATTTTTCTTCTAAGTAAGTTACTTTCTCTTTTGATAAGTATGACTTCTTTTTATTAAAGTTGTCGTTGAATTTATTTCTATGTATAACTAATGCATTTGATAAGTTGTTCTTTATAAGATCCCTTTTGTATTCATAGATACGATTTTTTAAAATTTCTGCAAGTTTCCCCGATGCATTGTGAGTGGCAGTTCTATTTTATATATACCTACAATTTATTTTATATATACCCGCTTCAGAATTATTATTGTTATGAGTATTTTTAGTTCTGATCATATCCCATAATAGTTTGGGATATGGTTGTAATTATTGTGATGTTGTTTTGATTGTAAAAATTGTTTTTGAATAAATGAATGTTACGGAATTAGTAAGTATTATCTGTCTGTTTTTATCTAGTTTATTCTCATTGTTATTTTTGTTATCTTTTGTTCTGGTTATATATTTTGTTTGCCTTTCTCTTAGCATTATGGATGAAATAATAAGGCTACTGGAGGTTATTGAAAGTGTTTTCTATGTATTTTTATTCTTTGATTAAGTAATGGAGACTGTAAATTGTTAGTGCTCTTAAATAGAATCTTAAAATTATTCCAGATTTAATTTCATTACAGTGGTGGGAATAAAAATTGATGTGGTAATTCTTGTTGCTAGATTTTCTATAAACCTCAAACTGAAGTTCTTTATTATTTCTATGCAACATGATATCTAGGAAGGATAATTTTATCCTTCCTAGATATCTGAATGTTGATTATAGTTTTCCAGTTTGTATTCTAAACACAATAACACGCCATGTACATTAATAAATATTCAAACAAATCTGTAAGCAAGAGACTTTCAAAAAATTTCCAGCAGTATCAAAATTTTTAATGAAAAAATAAAAAAAGGAAATGAATTAGAATACAAAATGGAAAACATTATGAAATCAATAGAAGGCAAAATATAACCCATTGTAATATAGTAACAACTCTAGAGGAAGCTTTATATTACTAATTCAGCTTTGGCGCTGAAAAAAAGTTTATTTTATTGGGATGGATGATTACAAACGAGAGGGGAGATGGAGTGTGATTATTTTATTCACACACACGCTTTTATTTCCATATTGAATTAATGAAATAAAGACAATATAGGCACAAAATTCTACAAGTTAATCGATAAAAATTTCTCTAAAAATAGTAAATTATCAAGAATCTTACTTATTATAAAATGCAGATTGTGTGTGTGTGTCTGTGTGTCTGTACGTTTATATATTGGATCGGATTTCCTACATTTTTCAACTGATTTCAACAAAACTTCACAGGATTGCGTAAAATTACCTTGCGGTGGTTCTGACAGCGCCAAAAATTGGAAAAACACAATTGTTTTTGCACGAAATCAATTTGAAAAGACGATAAAACGATTCTGTCGACAGAATGAAAGGGGGACAACTCATATCGAGTTATACTTATTATAAAACCCAGGTTGTGTGTGTGTGTGTGTGTGTGTGTGTGTGTGTGTGTGTGTGTGTTCGTTTATATATGGGATCGGATTTCCTACATTTTTCAACCGATTTCAACAAAACTTCACTTTTTTTTTTGGCAGGTAGTGTTTCTTGCACACTTTTTTCTTTATTTTTACATCCAGAATGCTTAAAAATTCCATTTACAAAACAATTGTTTATAATAAAATTCTATCCAATCGATAGACTCATAACGATTGAAAACAATTGTTTTTGTTTGAGTTTGGGTTTGACCAATTCGTAAAAAAAAAAAAAAAAAATAATAATTAAGACATGCGTGTCCGTCAAACTTGAACAATAATCTTTGTCAATTTTATTTTTCAGTCTTTATGATGGTCGATACTTGATCTATATCTTACTGTTCTATCCCCGGGCAACGCCGGGCTCTACTGCTAGTTTTTAATAAAAATAATATTCAATTAAGTTAGAGTTGCATGGAAAATATGGAAAAAGTAAACAGACACAAAAAAAAAAAAATAATAATAATTAAAATCTCCGTTGGGACTTTTGATATCGATATCTGCTAACTTCTATTTTCGTATCCGAAACGTAAATAGCAATTTGAAGTAATAAATGGATTTTAATCCGATATTATTTCATGTACATTTCATAAACGGTGTAATTGAATCTTAGTTGTGTTGTAGAGAGCTCCGTAGTCGAAAGCCTAGCTAAAAGGTGGTTATTCAGGATGAAAGGGAATGAAGGTTTCATCCCTGCCTAGAGGGACAATTTTGTTTAGAATACTTTCTGTTCTCTAGAACGGTGGACATTAAGGCAAAAACAAAAACATACAAACGGGGATATCCACTCAAATGCGTGTATCCACTAAGACAACGTTAAAAATTAGTAAAAGTATATATGCAAATATAAATATTTAGCATAAATCTATTTCATTTCCCCTCTCTATCTCTTCAACACTCCTGCACACACGCATGCACACACGCACCCGCGTATATCAATATAAGCCAAACATATATATATATATATTCAGGCCGGTAAATGTTATTAATACTGTTTATAAAACAGAGCATTTGCTTAAATATTTGTATCTATAAAAAGAATGTATAAACATAAAAATGTCTTAAAATAATTGTCGGACTTTGTCCATTTCATAATGTGTGACGTCATTTATTTACATTTGGATACGCTTTGAGCAGATATGAATGTACGTGAGAGATTCATGGTGGATTGAAGTTTAAAAGCAGTAAAATCGACTTCGCCATTCGAACGATTCTCTGTGGCTCGATCGGTTAAGACACGTCAGGCTATATGACGGTTCCATATAAGATACAGGTTCCATTCCTGTCGGAGAACGGATATTTTCTATGAAAATTTCTCGGACATTCAGGCCGGTAAATGTTATTAATACTGTTTATTATAAAACAGAGCATTTACTTAAATATTTTATCTATAAAAAGAATGTATAAACATAAAAATGTCTTAAAATAATTGTCGGACTTTGTCCATTTCATGTGTGTGTGTGTGTGTGTGTGTGTGTGTGTGTGTGTGTGTATATATATATATATATATATATATATATATATATATATATATATATATATATATATATATATATGATAAGGAAGAAATAGGATCATTTTGTCGTTTTCTAATCCATATCTTATCCTAATTATATTTTACCGCAAACCCCTAAACAAAAATGATTTTATCAATTTCCATTTCCACCACAGCCAACAAAATAAAATCAGGATTAATCATAGTTTTGTATCTGAAAATCCTTAGAATATGTAGCCCAGAATACCTAGATGAAGAAGAGAAATAGATTGCAAAACATTTATACTTCTTCACTAGACGCATCATTTTATCCTCAACGCTAGAAAATGAGCATAATTCACAAGTTAAAAAAGTAGGCACCTCTGACAACAAAAACATAAAATTCGTAATTCAACCCCCCACACACACACACCAACATTATCAACAAAATCTGAAAGCAAACTAGTTATCTCCAATACTAAGTTTTTACCACCACCTTCAAGACAATCAGTGATATAGTTAGAAAGAAAAGTAAATCCAACACCACATCAGATTCCGGGATTTGTGATATAAAAGGTCTTCAATGTAGGAAAAGCTAAATAGGCGTAACATCTAGAAATCTAAAAGCCCGCATCTACCAACATAAGAGAGTCTTAAGTTCGGGCAACCCTTTAAGCTCATTCGTAACACCCAGAAAACAAAACAGACCATAACTTCGATTTTATAAATGCCATCCTAGTTAGAAAAAGTATAATTCATTGCGTAGGTAATACTTAGAGAGTCCTGATAAATATTTTGTCATCTATAAACACATTTTTATAAAATCCATGCTTAAAGAAGCTACCTACAACGCACACACGCATATTATCAAACGAATCCCGCATAGAGCAACTAGAATTGTCATACACACACGCATGAATTATACGCCGAACATCGCTTGACAGGACAGTTACACGTGAAGTCTGCTTAACCAATGAATAGCAAACAACACAAAGATACTAAAATTTTAATTTTTACTCCATATGTCATTTTCTGATGAAGCTTAAATAAAAGCGTAACATGTTAAACTTATAAACGTTTTCTATTTGTTCATTATGATGTATATATATATATATATATATATAGTCTTAAATATATGCTATATTTATGGGATAAATTACTCAATATCAAAGATAGAGCATGTGTAAATATAAAAGTGAACATAGAAGTCAACACTTAGAGGCGACAGTCTGTTTCATGCTAGATGCATCTAGCATGAAACAGACTGTCTCTATGTTGGCTTCTATGTTCATTATATTATATATATATATATATATATATATATATATATATATATATATAATGCTGAATTATGATCCATGAATATATGTGTGTGCGTGTGTATGAACCTTATTAAGAGCTGCAAAGAAATGGAAATTGTGGAGAGCCATGATCACGTACGTCCTGAAGGGACACGGCACATAGAATATGTGTATATGTGTGTGCATTTATACATATGCAGGGTGTGTGTGCGTGTGCGCGTGCATAGTGATTGGTGTTAACGAAGCAAACAACCTATCCTAATATCTAGCTTGCAAATTTTGTATTGGTCCTGATCAGAATATTCATGAGATCGATATTTTTCTCTTTTTATTTTCCTTTTCCCTTTCTTTCCTTTTCTTTTTTCCTTTTCTTTTCTTTACTTTCCTTTTCTCCTTTCCTTTTCCCTTTCTTTCCTTTTCTTTTTTCCTTTTCTTTTCTTTACTTTGCTTTTCTCCATTCCTTTTCCCTTTCTTTCCTTTTCTTTTTTCCTTTCCTTTTCCCTTTCTTTCTTTTTCTTTTTTCCTTTTCTTTTCTTTACTTTGCTTTTCCCCTTTCCTTTTCCCTTTCTTTCCTTTTCTTTTTTCCTTTTCATTTTCTTATTTTCTTTTCTTTTATTTTTCCTTTCCTTTTTCTTTGTACCTTCCTTTTTCTTTTCTTTTTTTATTTCTTTTTCTTTTTCTTATTTTATTTCCTTTCTTTACTCTTTCCTTTTTTTCGTTTTCCTTTTACTTTTCTTTTTTCTTCCCTTTTCTTTTTTTTTTTTTCTATTTGCTTTCTTTTTTCTTTTTTTCGCTCACCGTGCCAACATCTACGCCTATTACTCTGTTCTCTTTGTTTCACATGATATCATATTACACTCTCACTGAACTCTGAACCCATTCAAAATTCGCTTATTCATTCATTTCACAACAGATTCTTAAACCAAAAAGAAAAAATCCAAACTTCTCTAGCGAATACATTTCCGCACAACGTTTCGTTTTATTGATTTATTTTTATTTATTTCTATTATTTATTATTTATTTAATTTTTATTTAATACTTATTTTTATTTATTTTTATTTCTATTTTATTATTATTATTATTTCTTATTTATTGCTTTATTCTGTCGGTGCAAAAGAAATTGCGGATTTAAACATCAATTCTAAAGCAGTCTGTCTTAGATTGGAAGAAAATTTATTAATCGAAATAAGAACTATGAGTCTTTACACATTGTTGCCAACAATAAACACATATTTTTATTGAGGAATCCTTCAACCGATGAATTCTTTGAATGCATTCTGAATTCTTACTTGGTTACTGAAGGAAAACTGTTGACTCATCTGAATAATTGGTCGGAGAAAGGTTTGGTTTCGTAGCCCAGTTCACACAATCTCTGAAGTTATTTCTGCAACATGCAGTATGGCGTTGTCACAGAGAAGACCAAATCAAATCAAATGACCAGTGTTGGATGTAAATGTTACAGACTTGTCGATTCCCTTACAAAACCTCTCGACTTTGACGGTTCCACTGGAAAGTTGTACTCGTAAGATTAACTACCACCAAGGACTTCCAAAAAAAAAAAAAAAAAAAAAAACATATTTTAAATAATTTAAATATCTTTTTTCTTTTCTTTTTTTAATCGAATTTACTCCAAGCAAAGCAGTAAAGAGCCACTAATATACAAGGGTTTACTGAGTGTATGAAAGAATTAGAAAACAAACATTATTAAGGAACGAGAACAACGGAAGAGTAACCAGGAAGGCAGTAAATAACGATTGACATTGCATTCAAATTTTTGAAAATCAAAGTTGGTCAGAAAACATGGAACCGGATGAGGGTTCAACAAGTGCAGGAAAAGAAACTGTTAGCATAGAACTTAAGTTTACATCTAGCCAATTCAATCTAGAACTGCACTTAAATTCATAAAGTTTAGGCACCATAGCGAAGAATTAATCTAAACAATTACCATGAAAGTATTTATAGAAGCAACTTTGGAAAAATGGCTAAAGTCGAGACGACTGACCAAGTCCAATAACATTGCCGATTCTTCTTTGTCTTTTATCAAGAATTTTCAAACATATAGCAGGAGCACCGTCCCATATGTTGCAGTAATAGTCTAATCATTGACGAATGGTAGACTTATAGAGATGTAAGATAAATTCTGGAGAGAAAAATTGTCTAGTACGACACAGTGAAGCAAGTTTCTTAGCAGCTGACCTGGCAATGGATTTAATGTAGCCTTTCCATTTCATGTCAACTAAGAATGTTAACCCGACAAAGCGCAACAAGTCACTCCCCTATAGGTTAACATCAGCCATGCTGATGAAAGGCAAAACGGGGTCTCTTATATGATTAATAAAGAGACATTTTGTTTTAGAGGAGTTCAAATTAACAAGGCATTCTTTGCTCTAGTAGGTCGTTTTTTGTTTTTTTTTATAGATCAGCCGCCAATTTGACCTTATCGAACTAATCATCTTACCTATCGAGCCAGGAGTAAATGGTTGTGTTATAGATACCAAACTGATAGCTGATGTGACCAAGAAGTTCGTCAATGAAAATTAAAAATAAAGTAGGACCATTAATAGAGCCCTGGGGTCGGGGGGGTGCCTGGAGTAGTACAGAAGGATCTAGAAGAATGGTAGTTCAGGATAACTTTCATTTTACGATTTGATAAAAAAGACTGAATTAGTTGAAAAATTGTCCGGAGATACCATAAATTTCAATAGTTTAAGTTAAATTTTAGTTTTATTTGAAAGCTTAATGTTAATCCGTATTAAAAATAAATAAATTTCCGTGTGTAAATAAAGATTTTAGGGATTTTAAAAATATTGATACATTTACTTGTCTCTCATTGACTTATCGAACCACGATTATAAACGAAAAATTTAAAAAAACAAATTTTAAAATCTCTTACAAATACAATATTTTCTAAAGATGTATTTCAATGTAACTAAATTTAAAGAATAATTAAGTGGATTTTTTAAACGTAATGCTTGCTTTTTGCTTTAAAAATCATAAAAATAACGTTTAGTCACGCAGGACAGTCTGTGATGTCATAGATCATGAACAGTAGTTTTGTTCCGTAATCCCTGACTACGTGAAAAATTAAAAATTCCTAATTATTCCTTAATTATTTTTAAATAAAGAAATATGGAACAGCAGCGGTGCAATAATGAAGAAATTTATAATTTTATTTTATTTTATACACTTTTATATAATAACTTATATATAACTTATAATTAATAATTTATTTTTTTTTATACTATATTAGAAATATAAGAAAGAAATTAATTAAAAGCTAGTAGGACGATACTTTTGAGTTTAATTCATTGATTTAATTTATTTTTTTATTATTTACTTATCTGTTTTATGGCATAACTTATTTAATTGACCAAATGAGGTCTTTTTAAAATTATTCTGAATTTAAGAGTTATTAATCATCATTATATCCTATAACTCTTCCGAGTAGGAAGAATAGACTATCAAAAGCGGTAATTCATAATTATTTCCTTTTTAAACATCCGTAAAAAAATTAATGAAACAGTTGATAAAAGGAAAAAGAATTAAAGGTTCACATTCGAAAATAGCATTAAACTTTACATTTGTAAATTCCGCAAACCAGATTTATTGAATAAAAAAAATCTTGTTACGAATAACAACGGGATGAATTTCAAATCCACATTGGAAAATTACAAGTAAGGTTTTTTAAAAACTAAATATTAAGTATAGATTTGTTCATGCCGCGTTAGGGTGTGTCCTACTGATCAGTTTCTGCTTCAGTGTGTATCCTACCACCACATTTGCATCTTACATTGGCATTGTCCCGATTTTTTTAGCGATATGTTAAAAAACATTCAGAATGTTTTTATTTAAAGGATTCAAATATCTTGTTTTATGATTTTTTAGTCAAATTTCTTATTTTATAATTTTTTTTATTTTAAATTTTATAATAAATGGCATTCCCATTGCAATTTTTTGCTTTCATTTCGAAAAAAAAAAAAAAAAAACGTATCCATTTTGGTGGTATCTGAGTCAAATGACTCCAACTGAAAAATCGTGACGGTGATTTTGAAGAAAGACAAGGTGAAAAACAATGCCATAAATATCAACATCATCTCAGCATTGCAAGAAACAGCCTAACAGTGGCTAAATACTTCAACGAAAACCAGTAAGTTCTTTGAAGAAATAAAGAAACTCATGGAAAAAAAAGAATTAAAAAAAATTTCAAAACAGCGCAAGAAAAGCTAGATGCCGCAGAACTAATTAAAATAATTGGAAAGAAACAAAGAGCAAATCTACGAAAACACAGAAACAGTGACCATTCAAGAAGTGACCAAATAAGGCAGGGTCTTCAATATGGCGGAGAAAAATCTCAACGAAGGAAGATTGCAATTCACGGTAGTTTAAGAAAAGTGCAGAATACTAACAACAGAGATGCCGAATCGTAGATGAAACACGTGAATTCTACGAAAAGTTTCAATCGTTAGATCGTCCCGATTCAGAACCAGACCCTCAAAACTGAGACTTACAACACTAGTTCAAAAGCTTCCAAAATATCGATTCATGGGATACAAAGCATATCGCCAAGCAATCGAAAATAATAAAAAAACAAACACATGTACCCGATAATATAAGAATAGATCTAATCGAAGCAACGGGTGAAATCATTTTCGAAAAACTTGCGAATCTTTTCAATGAATGTCTGCATGAAAATCGCTGATGAATTGAACGAGGCGATCATAATCTTTTAACGCGGGAAGGAAGACCCGAAGAACATGTCCAACTATCGTCCAATTAGCTTGCTGAACAAAGTATGCAAGCTGTTTATAAAAGTTATCACTAACAGTTACGAAAGGCTATCAAGTCCAAATGCCCAAGAAAAACTGACGAAATTGATCTTGTTTCATCAGGACAATGTTCCAGCACACAAATCCTAGGTTTCAATGGCTGCTGTACTTGATTTGACTCAGCTTTTGTGCATATACATGTTTGTGTGGATATATTTATTATAGGCAGTGATATGTGTATTTTATGTTGTTGTTTTGAAGTTATATTCTACAATGTAGGATATTATAGAGGAGGCACGGTGGAGTAATGGATAGCGGCTTGGATTGAGGAATCGGAGAGCCGAGTTTGAATTCCAATCAAATCCATTATATTCACTTACGTGCTAAAACCCTAAGCTGTGAATCCTCTTCTTCTCTCGTCAGATATGGGTAAATAGCAGGACAGGCCGAGTTCTATAACCTTGGATGGCAACTGGTATACCGCAGAAAGATCTGTCTTTCGATACATGACTGACGAAAGATACATGATCGCCTAAGCGTGTATCACGCATGGCACATAACTGACTGAGGATATTATATGAATTAATGTTATGAAAGAGTTCTTTCATGTTGGTTGTTTAATTGATTTTGTTTAGCGGCATATGAATATTTAATGCCGAAATCTAAATAATTTGAACACAATTTTATGGATTCAGCTAAACATATTTGGAACACAATTGTATACTTTTAAACTACAGATAAAATACATTCTTGGTCATTTTACTATAAATGTGTATTGTTGTTTCTTTTTTATATAAAAACGTACTGCTGGTAATTTTTACTATCAAAATGTATTTTTTATACTTTCATGGTGTTTTGTTTGGGCATTTACTATTTGCCTATAGCTAGGACCCTATCAGGTGCTGCCACCCTGGATCAGAGTGGACGTGGAAACAGCAGCAATTAAGAGGGGGTTCCACGCTCCTCAAAACCCCCAATCAGAGCATTTACTGCCGGATGTAGTTTATCGTCATACTCAAGACTTTTAAAATAAGAAAATTGCAATTATTTTCGTAACGGTCTAATATTTATTTATTATTTTTACTTATACATTATTTTTATTTATTTA